GATTGGTCTGTTTTGAAAAGATGCGGAAAAACCCTTCCCCCCCATTCCTGACTTTGATCTGATGAATAATAATAATTTGCCAATTTAAGTGAGTCCAAATGTCCAAATTTGGACTCACTTGAGGAGCAAGTTTCCAAAACAGTTTGGATTACTTCGTTCACGAGGAGGTGATCTCCTCCTTTCTCCCCTCTTGGGCGGCATTCCGCCTGAGCTGGGGCCCTGGCGCCTCGCATGGGGCTGGACATGGCTTCCGTTTCAGGAGTTCATCATGCTGGTTTAAATCGGGCGTGTGGTTTTCCAGGCCTTTGTTTTTAAACTTCAGCCCCTGCATTTCAGGTTGTTTCCCTTTGAAACACACGAAGAAAAAAAAGGGGTTTCCAATGTTTGGGCCAATTTGACATGTTTCCTTCAAGCACAAAAGTCGAACAGCACAGGCTACCCCAAAAAGACCTTGGTTTCCCCTTGGCTTGCCTGAGCAGACCTCCGAATTCCCGGCTTGGGCGGGAGAATATCTCCAACCCTCTCAAAAGCGCCGGGTGACCCCAACAACCAGTGGTTCCCTTTTTGATCCCCTCAGCGGGTGGTTTCTTGGCGCGCCCAGCGCGGGCACAGCTCCGAGGCTCGCTCCACCATGCCCGCAGCTGCCTGCAGGGCCTCGGTCCCACTTCCAACGGCGGAGCGTTGGGCGCGGTGGCGGCGCATCATGACCGGAGCCGGCACGGGGAGAGGCGGGGGAGGGGAGGGTGCAAAGCTGATACTGGGCCGAAAGCCGACGAATCGTTTTGCTTGCCACAGGAGCTCAGGGTTCTGTTCAGATTTTTTGTCATATTTGGCCTACCCTATATGTGAGTAGTAGAAGTACTATTGGAGAAGACCCCGGAGGCTCTTCCAGATTCTGTTGGCAGGCTTTGAAGTGTGAGTGTTTCAAACTGGGCATTTCGATTATTTTGGGCCATCGTAGGAGAAGGGATGAAACGAGAAGAATGATGCTGGGGCTGGGCCAAGCAGTCAAGCAGTCTGGTGCAGCGTAAAGTGGGTGCCAGGAACTTAAACCTCAAGCGGCTGCCGCCAACCAAAGTGCCTGGCCACCACGCTGGGGCGCAAGGTGAGGGGAATGAAGGCGTGGCCAGCTGTGTGGCGCGCGGGCGTACAGTCCTAAGATCTACAGCCAGAGCTACAAGACAACTCAGTCGGGCAAGGCAATCCGAGCGCAACGGGATCAGGTGATCTCGCTTCAGGGCAACTTGAGGCAGCTGTGCTGTAGTCCAGTCTCAGTCCAAGGCTGCGCAGAGCTGGCCAGCGCGCGTTGCGCAAAGCCTTGCAGCTGAAAGTGGGCTTGGCTTGGGTCACGTGGGCGCAGCCTCAGGCGCAAGGAGGCCGGGGAGCGGACGCCACGTGGCCGTGTAAGGGCCAGAGCTATGGTCCTCGTGATCTAGGGGTGGGTTTGGGAAGATCCTGATGATGTGAAGCGGTGTCTGACCGCTTCCCCGGTTTGGGGGCCGAGGCGAATCTTCAATGGGGAACCAATTCAATGTTCACGGAGAATCCTTTGGGTGGGGTTGGGGTTTGTGTGGGTTGTGTGGGGTGTTTGTTTTCGAGCCTCGGTGCGTGGCTTTCCATCCTGGGATTTAAGCTTTTCCTTTCGGAATGCCAAGCTTCAGGTGGGAAACCGGATCATCCTGGCAAAGGGAGAGCGCGGTAGTGTGCTGCGGTTTGTGCATTGGCGATTGCTGTTGGCAAGAAGGGGAACAAGCAAGGTCAGAAAAGGTTGACATAGGCATTTTCCTTCTTCAGCTCCTTTGGGCAGTCGTGCTCCTTTGGGGGGGCGGGTCACTTTTTTACAAAGGGCTCATTTTCAAGCGAACATCGTATCCAAATGGCTTCTCCTAAAGGTGACGTTTTTCCAGGAGCATGCTCCAAAAATGCTGTCTTCAGGGAACGCCCCAAGTCCGACCCCCTAACCAGGTGACAAATCGTGCAAAACACCTCTATCGGTCAAAGGAGGGTCAAAACTATCAAAGAAACAGGGAATCAACCAAAAACAGCTGAAGGAGATTCCAGCCGAAAAAGGAAAGACCGCGTTCTCCCGATAGGAAAGCCGAATCGCCAGGCACCTGTTGCTGCGGGTCCTGCGGCTCGTCCAGCCGTCAACACCCGCGAAAAGGGCCTAAGGGGAGAGAGCGAGCGAGCAAGCGCTGGCGGGGGGTGGGGGGGTGGGGTGGGCTTTGGATGTCTCTGAGAAAGTCGCTGTTTGGCATCCCAGGGCTTGGTGCGTTTCTCATTCGGGGCAAACACTTCGCCAAGCCCGGGGAACCCAGCATGTTGTGGCGAACACGCACAGCATTGAAAAGAATACCATAAGCCCAAACTAATTTTCCACTTTTGTTGGGCCTCAAAAGGCTGTTTCGTTTGTTTCATGGCAGCCTCAGTTAAGCTGATCAAGTGAAGAGACCCTGCTAAATCAGGGACGGTCATGACTGGCAAAGTCAAACTTTTTTGG